GCTCTCGTTACTTAATTAGTTGATATATGTATATTTTATCACAGTCTTAAAGATGCAATCTGTGCATTTGTCTGCTAATTTTATTAGTAATTTAAAGCAATACAAAACTGACAAATAAAAAGATCAAAAAGTTGTTTTTTTTTTGATATGGCATTTGCCTGAAACGTTTCTTACCATTCCCACAGATTCTCCTAAAAACACTTTGGTCTTAATTAAGAATGACTGGAGTCTAACCTGCAAGAGTGTTGCCAAACCAACAGTGAAGAATTACACCTGGTATAAAGTGACTGGGGGTGAAATTAAAGTTGTTTCATACTCACAGAACCTCACCTGTAATATCACTGAGGTCAGTGGACAGTATTACTGTCAGGCTCAGAATGAGCATGGGCTGCAGAATTCAAGCATTGTGAATCTCCACAGTGAATGTAAGTACAGTGGAAACCGCTGATCACGCCGGTCTGGGTGAAATTGATCACTATAAGCAGATGATCATTATAACCGATTTTTTTCTTCCTTTATGTCTCAGGCAGGTAACCATCTAACTGACATTTGTATATTTATTACATGAATATAAGGTAAACAGACAGTGTCGCTATTTACAGAATTTCATTGACTCTTTCAAAATACGGTACACCCGTTTAAAACGGTTCTCAAATTACATAAATTAAATTACTGAACTGTGTATAATTCAAATGCGCTATAATACTGTAGCGCTGGAGGCATCTGCATGTCCCAGCATGCCTCGCGAGCGTGTGTATAGCCCCGTGTACGTCTTGTATTTATCCTGCATTCAATTATCTCTCTCCGAGTCGGAACTCAGCTAAAAATGTCATGAAAAACGTCACTTCCTGTCAGAGTCACGCCTCCTTTCCAATGTTGATGTCAGAGAGAATTTTGTTGTCCGAGATTCCCCTGTCGTCATTTCAGCATGGCGGCTTACACAGTCAACAGTAATTCTATTTTATAAATATTTAAAAATGTTTATTTTGTTAAATGCATTAATTTCTTTATGAAAGCAGGGCATGCCCAGAGTTGACATCAAAGAAACAGGGTATTCCTGTTCCAAAGAACTGAATCCCTAAACAACAGAAAGGCTCGTTCTTATACATACTGTATCTGTTACTCCCCTAAAAAGAAATCTTCTACTTCAAGATGAAAAGCGTGATGGCCTCAGAGGTGATGACCTCACGCACCCCCACATTCCTCTAGGCCCAGGGACAGAGAGCCAGTCGCCATCAGCACCCCACCCTTGCTAGCCCTTCACATACTGTATTTCTATTTAATCCATTCAATGCAATCAAGCAAACCAGATTAAATATAGCACACATATAAGACTACATAAGAAAATACACCTGTTTCTCTATTAGGTATCTCTGGCTGCTCCCCCTCAGACGGCATTGAGCAGCCGGAGTAATACATCCCGTTCTCTCAGCAAGGAAAAGGACGCTCCAATTATTGTCATAAACAGGCAGTTTCAGCTTCCAGTTTCAGAGTCAATGCAAGACACATACATACAGACACAAAAACCATCTTTATCATTGAAGGTGAGCCCATATCACAACTGGCGGAGCAGCCATTGTAATACCAATTAATAAGCGATTCTTTGGTGTTATTTCACTGTCACTCTCCAAACCCTGACTTTACAGACCCGACTCTTCTGCAGTGGAAAACCAAAGCGAGCAGGAACCGCCCTGTA